TAATTAGAGCCATAAAATTAAAATAAAAGAGTATAGCATTGGGAGAGGCATAGTTTGATGGGCTTATTCTTCAATTAAAATCATATATCTGCCACTTGTTTAAAAAGAAAAATCAAACTTGTTAAAAAGATACTCAGCTAAAATCCCTCCCAATCTATCTTTAGCCTGTCCCCAGACTCATCTTCTCTCATTCTAGTTACAGCAGAATACTGACACTACCTAGACTCCACATCCCTGGTCACATTTTTAGTCTTTCAGGAATGCCCTAACCTACTTATTTTAAAATTGTCCTCTAACCAGGTTCATTTCAAATTAATTCTCTCATTATTTCAGTCAGATTTAACCTGTGTGATCCTATGTATACACCTGAATTCTAAGTTATACAATTCACTTGCTTACCTATTTGACAATATATACTGAGTGCTAACATGTGCTAGGCACTGTTCTAAGGCTGAGGCTACAATGGTAAAGATTTGACCTGTAACTTAATGCTTGTACTCATCATAGTCTAACCTGTATTTTTCTTAGTTGTTTAAATGCCTATTTTTCCACAAATTTGTGAGTTTCTTGAAGTCAAGTCCCACACATTAAAAAAAAAAAAAGCTTTGCTCACATGGAGCACTTATCGTATTATATTTAGAATGGTAGCAATTGGTTTTAAGACTAGGTTTTGTCTTTTATTGTCTTGGGAACTTGAACAAGGCACTTAACTCTTTGATTCTCTATTCTCATATGTGAAGTAGAGACAACAGTACCTGTCTTATGCTAAATTTCACAAAAAAAAGTATTTTGTGGAGCTCTATAAGTCTAAAAAAATCCACTAAATATTGGTACTGAGCAGATAAAGAAAATGTGGTACACATGTACTACATGTAATACTACTGAGTCATAAAAAGGAATGAAATAATGTCTTTCGCAGCAAGACATTGGATGGAGCTGGAGGCCATTATTCTAAATAATTCACAAATGGAAAACCAAATACTGTATTTATTCCATTCACTTATAAGTGGAAGCTAAGTCATGAGAATGCAAAAACATACACAGTGAAAAAATGAACTTTGGAGATTCAGGGAGGGGAGAAGGTTGGAAAAGGTGTGAGGCATAGAAGATTATATATTGGGTACAGTGTACATTGTTCAGGTGGCAAGTACACTAAAATCTCAGACTTCACCTCTAAAGAACTCACCTATGTAACCAAAAACTGCATGTACCCCAAAAACTACTGAAAAAAAAATCATTTAAAAAAATACCAGTACTACTACTACATTAGTAAATGAACCTGCCTCTTCTATTGAACTGAACTATGGCTGGGCCAATAATTTGTTAACTATTCACTGACCAACAAACTAATGTAAAACAGTAAGCAACAATACAACACAGTCCTTCATTAGCTAAAACACAGAATTACATTTACTTTTTTTTTTTTTTTTTGAGACACAGTTTCGCTCTTGTTGCCTAGGCTGGAGTGCAATGGCATGATCCCAGCTTACTGCAACCTCTGCCTCCTGGGTTCAAGTGATTCTCCTGCCTCAGCCTTCCGAGTAGGTGGGATTACAGGCATGTACCATCATGCCCAGCTAATTTTTGGTATTTTTAGTAGAGATGGGGTTTCACCACGTTGGCCAGGTTGGTCTCAAACTCCTGACCTCAGGTGATCCACCTGCCTTGTCCTCCTAAAGTGCTGGGATTACAGGCAGGAGCCACTGCGCCCAGCCTTACATTTACTTTTTGTAGTGGTATCTCAACAGCTGATATCCTACACGTGTTTTCTCAGTTAGATTTCGACGTATCTTCTATGTAACCCAGTCTGATGTTATCCTTCAGGGTTCACGGGACCACTAGGAAGTATTTAGATATACATAAGAGGTCCGTGAATAATGTCATTTTGTTTACTGTTGTTTCATTATAATGTTGATAAGGGAAAAAAGGATTCCTGGCCAGGCCATTGTCTGTGTAGAGTTTTCATGTTTTAACCATGCCTGCATGGGTTTTCTCTGGACACTCCAGTTTCCTCTCACATCCCAAAGATGTGTACATTAGCTGAACTGGTGTCTCTACAATGTCCCAGTATAAGTGAGTGTTCTGTGCTGTGAGTACACCCTGCGCTGGAATGGCATCCTGTCCAGGTTTGGTTCCAACCTTGGGCCTTTAGCTGCAAGGACAGGTTCCAGCCACTCACAACTGAAACCAGAAAAAGCATGTTGGAAAATGAATGAATACAAATTATTGTAAAGTAAAAATTCATAAAGCATATGGTGATCATACAAATATATGACAATAAGCGATGCAGTATAAAAACACTCAATGAGCCTGCCATATTTGTGACTGCTTTGGAACTGCATATAGTAGGAGGTGTTCTTTACAATTTTTGCTTTGCAAACATTTATTCCTTGATTTAACCCACCATTGCTACTACTGCCACTCACGGATTCACCAAAAACTGGGAAAATAATTACCTTGTTTTTATTAATATTTCTGAAATGTATGTATAGCTCACATTTACTTCAATGTTCAATATAAGAAATGTCTTAGGTCTTTACTAGAAGGCTGATGATCTTTTTGTGACCAGAAATATGCCATAGGAACTTAACTCTTGTTCATATCCATTAGTCTATATACAGTAAAATTAGTTTTGCTATACATTGTTTTGCTTAAAGTTAAATTAGATTCCAAGATTCTAAGATTCCAAGGACTCATCAATAACATCAAGTGCAGACTTACTGAATAAAGAAATTTATTACAGGAGTTGACCTTACACAATTGTAGGAGCTGCTTAAAGATGGTGTAGTTTGAATTCCATAGGGCAGGCAGTTGAGAAGAGGAAAGATATAATGTTGGGGAGAGTAAGAACAAACTGACACCAAGAGCATCAGCTGGTTGACAAGGATGGACTCACATCAGTCTTACTGCCTCCAACCTGGATGCAATGGGTATCCTGCAGGAGATGCTGGTGCCTTTCATTTTGGAGCTAGACATATACCTGGCACGGGGTAAGAGAAGCTGAAGGAGGATACAGGGCAAGGAAGAACAGTTACAGACCTGACTGCAGTGAGCCAGTAAATAACTTTCCTAGCGTAAATGAACACTGCAGTAGTGTTCCAACCCTCCTAGTATAAAAGCCAAAAACAGCTGCTGTTTCACTCTCATCCTCCAAATTTCACACAAAATTGTCTCTTTTGGCCACTCTAACTAGAAACATACAAGAAGGAAATTCTGTGAAGTGTAGTTGACCCTAGTGAAACTAACATGTTACACAGTCAACATCTTGTCAACCTGGCATCTCTTAAAACCATACACATCTCTTAAAACCATACTTAGTTATCAAATGGAGAAAATAACAGTCATGCTTCCACCTAACATGATACAACTATCCCTCTACACAACAAACATCCTAACCCCTTCCTTCTAAAAGACAGGATATGAGTTCCTTTTTTTTGTTTTCAGGGGATGTTCATTCTTCTTCAATCTGATTCACAGTTTTCTTTGATATTTTGTAACTTAAATATGTAGATACAAAGTTAACTATTATTAACATGTCTTATATTAGATGATGCAGAATGAGACAGTAAGAGAAACAAAAATATTTGATTAATACATAGACAAACATATATTAAGAAGGAATATGAACGTTTGTATCAGTACTGCAGTGTTCACTTCTGTAATTCCTCACATAGCTGTAGCTGTTATTTTTACATATCTTTTTCTACTAACCACTCCATATTCCCTTTGCCCTCAGCAAGTACTTCACTGTTCATAGTTTCTTATCTGGAAGGGTGGCCCAAACTTTATTCTCAAAAAATCGGGGCCATCATCAGCACTGCCTAACTTGGGTTCTTACAGCTTTCTATTGATTTTACTCATAGAACCTATGAGTACTGCATTCCAGACGTACTCTACATTACCCACACTGTGTAGTAGCAACTCAATTTCCTCTTGATAGGCTCAATCTATCAATAATTCCCCTTCTTTGCCTGTGGGTTTACAGTGGCCATAGGAGGGCAGTCTCAACTTCCAGTTCAACAGAATCATTACTTGTGTCCCCACATGGAAGCATTCTTCTTTTGGGGATTAAGACTTATAAATCAGCAGAGCCTAAAGTTGGGAGGATAGGAAGCAAAAATTTTGCTACTGAATCACTAGGAGTAATTGTGTGTGGTGCCACACCTATCTCCAAACTGTGGTTTTTAGGCCCGTGAATCAGAAATAGCAGCATAAATCAAAATCTGATTTAGAGCATGTATTGCATCCTGGAGGATACTGCCCCAGCCCCACAGGGCATTTCTACCTAGCTGGCACTGTAACTGAGTTTTCAAAGGCCTTTCCTACCTACTATCAACCCAGCTGCTTCAGGATGACTGGGATCTTTCTAAGACCAGTGAATTCCACGAGCAAGACCCAACCAATTTCCATACTTCATTAGCTGGTAAGTGAGTTCCTTATTCAGAAGTGATACTGTGTGGAATATCATGGTAATGGATAAGGCATTCTGTAAGTTCATGGATAATGGTTTCAGCAGAAACATGAGCAAGGGAGGCAAATCGCTATCCAGAGCAATGTTTTTTCCAGTAAGAACAAAGCACTGCCTTTTACAGGATGGAACTGATCCAATGTAATCAACCTGCCACCAGGTAGATGGCTGATTCCCTTGAAGAATGGTACCACTGAGAGGTTCACTGTTGTACCCAGATCCACCTGGGTGAGTGGGTCGATATCACTGAACCAATGCATAAGCCTTTCTCTGTGGCACCATATCTGCTTTGTTCATGAATCAATATACACATCCTGGTGGTTCTGCTTCTCAGTTTGAACCCTGACAGATGAGCTGGGTATGGAGAGTGGTTTCAAAGGAACTGAATCTTAGGATTAGGTTATCTGAATTGGTTCACGCTTCTTGCTTTTATAATATTTTACATTTATATTTCAATCACTGAAAGTACTATACAAAACTGAATAAACTTTTTAATGGCACACACACAAAAGAGTATTCAGGTTATACTTACTAAGGACTGAATCAACATATTAAGACAACTTTTCTGAATCTCAGGAGGTATATTTGCAAAGCTTCTCTCAGACCAAAACCTTGCAAAATGCTTTACAATCCACCTGTTAAAATCAAAGAATACCAAGTTAAAGAAATTAAAATGTTTTTCATTATAATAGTCAATATTTTGGTTTCAATTACATAACTGTACATATATATATGACCTGACTAATACTATTGATTTTATGAACTCTAAAATGGACTTTATATTCTCTTTCCTGTAAACAAGTATTTTAAACCCATGTGCAGAGATTTTAACATAATTAACTGTGGCTCAGCTAAGATAAAATGATCCTAAGTATCTTCAGTAATATCTACATTATTACTCTATTTAGTGGTGAAACTAGTACAGCACTAAGCTACTTACTTACATTGTGTCCAAGAAAACAGGCCAACTCTAAAGTTCCCCACAAAATTAGAAGAATAGAAAAACAAAATCCCTAAAGTAATAGTATTAGCACTACTTAACATAACTTACTTCATGCAGTCAGCAAAAAGACTTTCCACTCCAACTGAATGAGCAATAATCAGGCATTCTAGTACAGATGTCAATGTTCTGGGAACAGGCTAAAATTGATGGAAAACACAACATTTATTCTTTTTCAATTTACAGAGGCTAAAAATATTTGGTTCATAAAGATAATTCAATTTATATACCTAAACTGCAGAACACATACAACTCAAAATCTGATAAATTCAAAATTTATTTTCTATATTTAACCCTTTATCTGAAATTAACTTCTGCTGGTACTGAGGCTACAAATAAGCTCTAGTCAGAGTCTATTTTTTTCCTTAAAAACACCTTTCTACACAAAAACTTAAACATGAATGTTTATAGCAGCTTTCTTCATAACTGCCCAAACTTGGAAGTAACCATGTTGTCCTTTACTAGATGAATGGATAAATAAACTGTAGTACATTTGTGCAATGAAATATTCAGCTCTAAAAAGAAATGCGCTATCAAGCCATGAAAAGACATGGGGGAATCTTAAATGCATATTACTAAGTGGAAGAAGTCAATCTGAAAATACTATATACTATATGATTGCAACTATATTACACCCTGGAAAAAACAAAACTACAGAGACAGTAAAAAGGTCAGTGGTTGCTGGGGGTTAATGGGGAGGGAAGGATGAGCACTCAGAGCATAGAGGATTTCTGGGCACTGAAAACACTCCTTATGATACTATAATGGTAGATACATGCCACTATACACGTGTATAAACCCATAAAATGTACAACACCAATAGCGAACTCTATTGCAAACCATGAATTTTGGACAATAATGTGTAATTGTATGCTCATCAGTTGTAACAAACGTACCGCTCCAGTGGGCGATGTTGACAATGGGGGAAGCTATGCATGTGTAGAAGGAAGTGGGTATGTAGGATATCTCTGTACCTTCCTCTCAATTTTGCTGTGAACCTAAAAATGCTCTAAGTTTTTTTTGTTAAAAAGTCTATAATTCCTTTAAAACTAAGTGTCACTAACAACTTTCAATTTTATGGCATATCATTTGAACTCTTTTGGCTGCCAGAATGCACACAATTTTTATTCTAATTTATTTCAGGTTAAATATCTTTTTTAAAGCAAAAGTGGTATAATAATTTCTAGCACATCACTGCAATACAACAACATGGTCTCATCTGCTTCCTAACATATAAATACAAATTAAAGTAATTGTGCAATGAGAGGCCCTATATTGATCTCAGATAAAAAGAATTTAGTTAGATCATAATTACATATATATATATATATTTTTTGAGACAGAGTCTCACTCTGTCGCCCAGGCTGGAGTGCGGTGGCGTGATCTCGGCTCACTGCAACCTCCCTCGGGTTCAAGAGATTCTCCTGCCTCAGTCTCCTGAGTACCTGGGATTACAGGCATGTGCCACTACACCTGGCTAATTTTATATTTTTAGTAGAAAGGGGTTTCTCTATGTTGATCAGGCTGGTCTCGACCTCCCGACCTCAGGTGATCCACCCATTTCAGTCTCCCAAAGTGCTGGGATTATAGGTGGGAGCCACCGCGCCCGGCCACATAATGTATTTTTTAAAAGCACATATACAGAAATAATAAATGAGAACAAATAAAATGTAGATACAAGTAGGGAAAACAACTCACTTCTCCTGTTGTTACATATCTTTGCTATGTATTGCCCATGCCATGTATTTTCATGTTTTGGACGTTTCTAAGCACATTTATTTCTCAATTAGGTTGAAGAGTTTAATTTCTTTTTATACACTTAATAAAGAACATCAAACAGCTAATTTGTGTATCTAGTCTCTAAATGTGTACTTCTAAAGATCTGCTCTCTGAGAGAAGAGCAAAACCTTCTTTGGAAATGTCTCCAGCATAGCCCTTCTGGTAAGGTCAGTGATTTCCAATTCTTTATTTATGAATTACTATTAATTTGATTTTCTAACACCCCTCTACTAAAAGTGTTATATTAGTATTAAAAAAATTGAACGTAGGCCAGGTGCAGTGGCTCATACCTGTAATCCCAACACTATGGAATATTGAGGCAAGGTGGATTACATGAGGTCAGGGGTTCGAGGCCAGCCTGGCCAACATGACAAAACCCCAAATCTACCAAAAATACAAAAATTAGCCAGGTGTGGTGGTGCATGCCTGTAATCCCAGCTACTTAGGAGGATGAGCAGGAAAATCACTTGAACCTGGGAGGCAGGTGGAGGTTGCAGTGAGCTGAGATCCCACCACTTGACTCCAGCCTGGGTGACTGAATGAGTGAGACTCATCTCAAAAAAAAAAACAAAAAAAAAAAGAAATTGAATGCAAATCTTTCGCTTTGCATATTAACAATTTAAACAATTAAGATCCTTTTGAGATAACTGGAGATACTTTAAGTTATATAAAATATCTGTGTGTGTGTGTGTATATATTTTGTTTGTTTGTGTTTTTGTTTTTGTTTTTGTTTTTGAGATAGGGTTTGGCTCTGTCACCCAGGCTGGAATGCAGTGGTGTGACCATGGCTCACTGCAGCCTCGAACTCCTGGGCTCAAGTGATCCTCCCACCTCAGCCTCCTGAGTAGCTGGGACCACAGGCACATCCTACCATGCCTGGCTAATTTTTTAAAAATTTTTTTGTAGAGACAGGATCTCCCTCTGTTGCCCATGCTAGTCTTAAACTCTTGGGCTCAAGCAGTCCTCCTACCTTGGCCTCCCAAAGTGCTGGGATTATAGACATGAGCCTCCACACCTGGCCTAAAGTATATTTTTAATTGGTGACAAAAAAAAAAAAAAAAAAAAGTAAAGCCTACCAAAATCCTATAAATGAAGTCAAAAATGTTTAATTGTGTAAAAGACAGGATTGTGAAGCTAATGAAATTATTGAAGCTAGCTTGCTAAGAGTTCTGGGACCAGTTGTCCATCACATTATACCCATATTTGTATTACTGTGTCACATTATTGTAAGTTTATGATATTTAAGTCACAGCCAAAAATATGCATAACTAAGAACTAAGGCTGGGCGCAGTGGCTCACTCCTGTAATCTCAGCACTTTGGGAGGCCAAGGCGGGTGCATCACCTGAGGTCAGGAGTTCGAGACCCACATGGTGAAACCCCGTCTCTACTAAAAATACAAAAATTAGCCAGGCGTAGTGGCATGCATCTGTAGTCCCTGCTACTGGGGAGGCTGAGGCAGGAGAATCACTTGAACCTGGGAGGCGGAGGTTACAGTGAGCTGAGATCGCACCACTGTACTCCAGCCTGGGTGACAGAGTGAGACTCCATCACAAAGAAAAAAAAGGACTAGAAGTTCAAAATTATATATATTCAAAAGTATATTTATAAACATTAAGAAATATAAAGGAAAAATTTTAAAGATTAGGTCAACAAAACCAGAAATTGTTCTCTCAAATATCTGTTACCACAGCAAAATAGACAACATTAAAATAAGTGGCTGGGCGTGGTGGCTCACCCCTGTAATCCCACCACTTTGGGAGGCCGAGGCAGGTGGATCACCTGAGGTCAGGAGTTCAAGACCAGCCTGGCCAACACGATGAAATCCCGTCTCTACTAAAAATACAAAAAATTAGCTGGGCGGGGTGGCACGTGCCTGTAATCTCAGCTACTTGGGAGGCTGAGGCAAGAGAATCGCTTGAACCTGGGAGGAGGAGGTTGCAGTGAGCTGAGATCATGTCATTGCACTCCAGCCTAGGCAACAAGAGCAAAACCCTGTCTCAATAAATAAATAAACAAATAAATAAATAAAAGCAAAAAAAGTTTTCAACAAAACAGCATACTGATAATTTAAAATAAACTTCATTTTCTGTTTTATTAATAATATAAACAAATATGTCTTTTGTGTTTTTAACATAAAGTGAATTATTGAAAGTAAAATACAACAAGCTGCATATAACCCAATACACTCATCCACATATTAAAAAATAAAAATAGAGGCAATGATCCAAAGACTACTCATAAAAGATTATGTTTACAACTTTTAAAGCTCTTAAATAAGCTTTAACTGGCTTACTGAAGAATCTCAGCTCAAAAACACTAATATGAGACTTATTTTCCCAACTAATGCTTTCAACCATGCTATGTCAAATCTCCCCTTTTTCCCATCCCTTAATGAAACTATAGGCAGATTCCAATACTTTCTGGATACTATTGTTATTGAAATGCAGCACAGTACTATTTTAACACCTATCTCTTCATCGTATCTGATATAAATATTTCTCTCCCCATTGCTGACTAGATTTATGGTTGAAATGTGAAATAGGGAGTAATGCATGGTCTGATCTCCTGCTCCTCCATTTTCTGGGTCAAATTCATATGGAAGACTATAGATGGCTCTGGTCACCTTACGTAATTAAGCAGAGACCAAGATGGTAGTAGGGAGATATCCTTGGCTTTGTTCTAATTCAGATACTGGAGGCCTTTATTGATATAATGGCTCTTTTAGTGGCAGATCAAGCTTCAACCTGGGCTCTCTGTGGATAAGAACTCTTTAAATGGCTCATGATGCACAATACCTCCCCAAGTGGGACACGGTGTCATCTAGCCCTGTTATCAGTCTTCTCTAACTTTCATGAAACCATTAAGGTCCTCCTCCTTCCCTGTGGACCATGTGTAACCGGGGTGCAGAGTGGAATCCTCATACTTTTTTCTCTGTATGACAGTAACTGAAGTTCCTCACACCAAGGCTAGTTTTGGCTTCTCCAGCAAGTCTTCTCTCTTTAGAAATCTCCTCACTCAACTACATTCTCATTGGCTTCTCAGACATATTCCAAGCTCTCCTAAGAAATTTATTACCACTTTCTCTTTGTCTTTGATAGAAGCTCCAGGGTGGGATGGTTTTACAGATATAGTTAATGTTCATCTAGGGGATGAGAAGACAACAACTCCTTATTGCAGATATTCTCTAGCTTTAATCTTTGTGATTTACTTGGATCCCCCTAACTTTCACTTGACTGGAAATATGAGGGGGACATATGAAGAAGGAAGAATCTTTCACCAGAATTCCTCACTTTCTACAAAGCTGAGGACACCACCAGCTGCCCTCCTTCTTCCAAGGCCCTTACTTACAGAGGCTGAAGTGAATGGTTCGTTAAAGAAAGCTGAGGGGTTAACTATTTCTCAGTAAACCTTGTGGGGTTGGTAGTAGTGGTGGTACTAGACCCAGTTGTTCATGGCTTTCGTTTAGCACATGGGCTGCTTCCGCACCTACAACTTGTAGGGAAGTAGAAAAAGACCTACCCGAAACAAAAATCTAAATTTAAGCATTATTAAAACCACCTAATTAGAATTCACACAATGTATATTATTGCTTCAAACACCAGTAAAAGAGAAATATGATGTAAAAAGTTAGATTTGTTTTAGTTGATTATAAAATACTTGTTCTTTGTAGAAAATTTTAAAAACATAGACAAGCATAAATAAGAAAATAAAAATAACCTAAAATCGCAGAATGTATTAAAACAATGGATAATCTAAGAATAATGTATGAATGGCTTCGAAATGCATAGTAACAGCTCTTTCTTTAGACATTTAACTTACCTTTGCAGTAACTAAAATTAAAATTAGTTAGTATCCATAGGTCACCTGAAGAGACTGGCATAAAAGAACTACATTCCACCCCAAGTCCCTGCTATAAAGAGAAGTGGTAGAAGGAAGGAGTATACTTTCAGGAGTAAGAACAAATAAAGCACTGTGTAGCCCTTTGATAAATGGGAAAGTAACCTTAGTTCTTAACTTCCTTTCTCCTCGTTCCGAACTCTGGGCACCTTTGAATTATACAGGATACTCCTACCTCCTCTCAATACCTGCCCTCCCATCAATTTTGTTTTACTTAAAATTATTTGAATTAGTTTCTGATTTTTGCAAGCATACCATATGTATTATTTCTCAACTGGAGTTCTCATTAGTTAAATTTACTTAATATTTTAAATATTTAAAGCACTATTACTATCAGAGTTAAAAATCTAGTAGGTAATAATGGATGACAACGCACTGGATAAAAGATTTCTGAGGCTCAATAATTACCTTCTGAAAGAAATTACAGTAATCTCTTCTTAAAATATAGATTGCTACTTCTTTTAATCCTTCTAGTCCATACATATCAGCCATATTGAGTATCTGACTAAAATAAAAATAGATGCACTGTTAATTCTCCAATTTAAAACTCAAGGCACAATACATACTAATTTATTGATAATATATAGTCTGTTTAGAAAAAAATAATCTGAAATATTTTGATTCTAATTTTCTGCCTTACATAATATATACCCTTTATGGATTATAAACACAGCATAGGCCAAACGTTGAAAGCACTGACACGTGATTTGATTAGTAGAGAACAAGAAATAAATTTGGAGATGTCTCAAATTCCCTTCATATACTAAGTGATATACAGAACAAAATCCAAGAAACTGCTATAAAGGCTGCAAAAGTTACAAAACTCTCTGTATCAAATTTGTATAATAAAAGTTTCTTGGCAGGCGGAGGGGCAATTCACTAATGTCTTATCCTATTGAAAATGTCTACAAATAACCCTAAGATTGGAGACAGCATCCAATGACCAGAGTTTCTTTTGCTTCTTTCATTTGGCAAGTATTTCTGAACACCTACACATACTTTAGGTACTTAAGAAGCCTACAAGCTTTGAAAGAATGACAAAATTTTGTATAGGTTGTAAGGGGATAAAAACTTAGTAGTAAATCCTGGGACTCACGGTATGTTCTCCTGAAAAACATATTTATTCAGTTTAAAATTAAAGGAACCAAATAATTTTTAAAATTAAAAAGTAGTTTTCATTTGTCTGATGTGAGAATACCAAGAAAATGGAAGACATCCAGAAAATTAAAAGAGCAAGGTGAACTTTCACTCCCAAGTAGGATTTCAGAGGCTTAGATGGTATTTCACTATAGCACATTTAAAAATCACAGTTGTTGGTCTTTGGGATGCCCTATATTCTTTTTTTTTTTTTTTTTTTTTCCAAGAATGGGGTCTCACTATAGTCCCAGGCAGGTCTTGATCTCCTGGGCTCAGGCTATCCTCCCGCCTCTGCCTCCCTAAGTGCTAGGATTACAGGTGTGAGCCACTGTGCCTGGCAAATGCCATATATATATACACATATATATATGTATATATATATTTTTTTTGAGATGGAGTCTCGTTCTATCACCAGACTGGAATGCAGTGGTGCAATCTTGGCTCACGGCAACCTCCACCTCCCGGGTTCAAGTGATTCTCCTGCCTCAACCTCCCAAGTAGCTGGGACTACAGGTGCATACCACCATGCCCAGCTAATTTTTTTTTTTTTTTTGTATTTTTAGTAGAGACGAGGTTTCACCATGTTAGCCAGGATGGTCTCGATCTCTTGACCTCAAGATCCGCCCGTCTCAGCCTCCCAAAGTGCTGGGATTACAGGTGAGAGCCACCGTGCCCGGCCCCTATATTCTTAAGTGTGTTTTTTCTTTTCTTTTGCTGTTTAGAAAAGATATACTAAAATTCAAAAAGTAGTAAAATAATTTTCAAAGTTTGATAAAAGTTTAATCAATTTATTGATCTATAAACCATAATTTATAGCTTCTTCTAAATTTAAGTCTAATAAAGACTGTTTTCAATCTTATTACTGTGAGTTGATAAGTCACCTTTTCTTCTAAATAAGGTGACCTGCTTATTTTTAGATGTTCTCAAGACATACTGAAGATATAGTAAAATAGATTATAAAAAGCAGTTTCTACTTCATTAACACTTTGCAACACAGCTCAACAAAGTAGAACCTAACTCTGTTATATTTTAAATTATTAAAAAGGAATACATACCCAACATTAGTTTTGTCTGGAATGTCCAGAGTTCCTCCATATATAAAATGCATCATAACATTCAGTTCTACATGGCTTATACTGAAAAATAAAAGAAAACTCAAATCCAGAAATAATTAAGGTTTAATCAATATCAATGATTCAATTTTCCCATAAACTTCCAGCCAAGATAATGTTCTAATCTTCCTTTTACCTGAAGAATACACTCTTCAAATAACATCCATGCAGGTATACCATTAAACAGAATGACAACAATAGATTTTTATATAAGTTATACAGTGTTGTTAGTATGTTATCAAATCATTATTTATTGAGCATCTTCTACCTTGAACTATAAAAAACAGATAAAAGTTGAAGGGGCATCCCTTACCAAATGGCCTTCCCCTAAGATCCCAATCCTATGCCATGTGTTTCTCCTAACGTGCCTACTAGGAGCATTAGGGTTCTGTGGGACATAGATTTACACAGTGGAGAAGAAGAGCAGTCTGAGCTAGGTCAAGAACACATACCAATGGGAAAACTTTTAAATTTCTTCACTGACTGTAGTGGAATGAACTCTGAATTATGAATTGACAAATGTGATTTAAGCTGGGTGCAGTGGCTCACACCTATAATCCCAGTACTTTGGGAGGCCAAGGTGGGAGGATCGCTTGAGATCAAGAGTTTGAGACCGGCCTGGGCAACACGAAGAGACCTCATCTCTACTAAAAATTATAAAAACTAGCAAGGTGTAGGAGTACACATCTATAATCCCAGCTACTTAGGAGGCTGAGGCAGGAGGATCACTTGAGGCCCTATATTGACCTCAGATAAAAAGAATTTAATTTGATCATCATTACATAACGTGTTTTTGTGTGTGTGTGTGTGTTTTTTTGAGACGGAGTCTCACTCTGTCGCCCAGGCTGGAGTGCAGTGGCACGATCTCGGCTCACTGCAACCTCTGCCTCTCCGGTTCAAGAGATTCTCCTGCCTCAGCCTCCTGAGTAGCTGGGATTACAGGCATGTGCCATCATGCCCAGCTAGTTTTTGTATTTTCACTAGAGACGTGGTTTCAACCATGTTGGTCAGGCTCCTCTTGAACTCCCGGCCTCATGATCCCCCCACCCTGGCCTCCCAAAGTGCTGGGAATACAGGTGGGAGCCACCGTGCCTGGCCTACATAATGTATTTTTTAAAAGCACATATACAGAAATAATAAATGAGAACAAATAAAAGGTAGATACAAGTAGGGAAAACAACTCACTTCTCCTGTTGTTACATATCTTTGCTATGTATTGCCCATGCCATGTATTTTCATGTTTTGGACGTTTCTAAGCACATTTATTTCTCAGTTAGGTTGAAGAGTTTAATTTCTCTTTATACACTTAATAAAGACCATCAAACAGCCAAATTGTATATCTAGTATCTAAATGTGTATTTCTGAAGATCTCTTCTCTCAGAGAAGAGCAAAACCTTCTTTGGAAAGGTCTCCAGCATAGTCCTTTTGGTAAGGTCAGTGATTTCCAAGTCTTTATTTATGAACTACTATTAATTTGATTTTCTAATACCCCTTTCCTAAAACTGTTATATTAGTATTTAAAAACTTGAATGTAGGCCAGGTGCAGTGGCTCATGTCTGTAATTCCAACACTTTGGGATGCCAAGGCAAGGTGAATTACTTGAGGTCAGGAGTTCAAGGCCAGCCTGGCCAACATGGCAAAACCCCATTTCTGCTAAAACTACAAAAATTAGCCAGGTGTGGTGGTGCATGCCTGTAATCCCAGCTACTCTGGAGGCTGAGGCAGGAAAATCACTTGAACCTGGGATACCAATGGAGGTTGCAGTTAGCTGAGATCTTGCCACTTGACTTCAGCCTGGGTGACCGAATGAGACTCCATCTCAAAAAACAAACAAAAAAAAAGAAATGGAATGGAAATATTTGCTTTGCATATTAATAGTTTAAACAATTAAGATCCCTTTGAGATAACTGGAGATACTTTAAGTTATATAAAATATATACGTGTGTATATATATGTGTGTGTGTGTGTGTGTGTGTACACATATATATATATATATTTTTTTTTTTTTGAGACAGGGTTTGGCTCTGTTACCCAGGCTGGAATGCAGTGGTGTGACCATGGCTCACTGCAGCCTTGAACGCCTGAGCCACGACTGTGTCACAGCACTCTAGCCCGGACGACATAGCTAGATCCCACCTCAAAAAAATAAAAATAAAAAAAAAATTTAGAAAACTACCTGTTATGAACTGAAATGTCTGTGTTCCCTCCAAATTCATATGGTAAAGCCCTAACCCCCAGTGTAGTCATATTTAGAGATGGGGCCTCTAAGAAAGTAATTAAGGTTAAATGAGGTCACATGGGTCCTTGATCTGATAGGATTCGTTTCCTCATAAAAAGTACCATAAGACTCTCTCTCCAAGTGCATGCACCAAGGAAGGGCCACATGAGTGTACAGCAAGAAGGCGGCAGAGTGCAACCCAGAGGCAGAGCCCTCATCAGACACCAAAACTGCTGGCACGTTTATCTTGAACTTTCAGTTTCCAGAACCTTGAGAAAATAAATACCTGTTGTTTAAATCACCCAGTTTGGATATTCTGTCATAGAAGCATAAGCAGATTAATACAATACCTCTATTAATGAATGCTCTCTATTACTTCCTGTTTCAGAAAATGTACTTTGTTGAATTCTACCTGAGAAGTATTTCACTGAACATCCAGGGAAATCAGATTCATAAAAAGTGCTTTGTATGAAATGCAATTTGCAATCATTTGCAGTCAAATGGCCCTGTAAAAATATGCTTACCCTTGAAGAGTAACATACTCTTGGGAGCTTTCAGCCCAACAGCCACTCAGCATTGCAGCAAAATAACTAGATCTGGCACTCAAAATGGCCCTAAAGGGAAGAGGGGGGAGAAACACAGATAAACATTTACATATTACTCAAAATGTAATTTTTTATGAAAATTTTCATCTTTATGTATTAAAACACAATAATCTATTTGTTTTGTTTGTATTCACGGGCAGGATTACTACATAATAAAACTTATAAGTTTATATTTATACCTAAGGGTTTTGTTTTTTGTTTTAAGAGACAGGTCTTCCTCTGTCACCCTGGCTGGAGTGCAGTGGCGTGATCATAGCTTACTACCACCCTGAACTCCTAGGCTCAAGTATGATCCTCCTACCTCAGCCTCCCAAGAAGCTAACACTACAGGCATACAGTATCACACTCAACTTGATTTTTAAATTTTTGTTAGAGACAGGGTCTCACTATGTTGTCCAGGCTGGTCTCAAACTCTAGAACTCGAGCAATCCCCCTATTCCTGAAGTGCTGGGATTTATAACTAAGCATTTTGATTGTTTAAAACATTAATTCCAATGCCCTTGCTATCTTTTTTTTCTTTGAAGGCTCTTTAATTTTTTAAGCTTATAAAAACATAATTTTTATATTTTATTAGTTAAATATAAAAAGGTAGCTAAAGACAAAGTACTGATCAGCAAACCTCATTTAGTATGGATTATTTTGGAAATTTAAAAATTTTTAACGAGGTGGCCTCCTATCTCATACTAAAGTATAAATCAAATCTCTTTCCCAGATTTATACTTCATACTTAGAAACAATCTGAAACTTTTTCAAATCAATGAAAACAACAACAACAACAACAACAACAAAAAACCTACCATGACCAATTTAAATGACCTGGGAAAGGGTAGGAGAGGTGATCAATAATCAGAGCCAGTTGCACACAGATGGAAAAATGCTTGTTGTCACTCCCAAATATATCCCTACATTACATTATATGTAAATCACAATGGAAATAAGTGCCTACATTACAGAACTATGAAATTCTATTTAGAAAATAATAGGCCAGGCACAGTGGCTCACGCCTGTAATCGCAGCACTTTGGGAGGCTGAGGCGGGTGGATCACCCAAGGTCGGGAGTTCGAGACCAGCCTGGCCAAAATGATGGGAAACCCCGTCTCTACTTAAAAAATAATAATAATAATAATAATAATGGCCAGGCGCAGTGGCTCACGCCTGTAATCCCGGCACTTTGGGAGGCCGAGGCAGGCAGATCACGAGGTCAGGAGATCGAGACCATCCCGGTTAACATGGTGAAACCCCGTCTCTACAAAAAATACAAAAAATTAGCCGGGCGTGGTGGCGGGCGCCTGTAGTCCCAGTTACTCGGGAGACTGCGGCAGGAGAATGGTGTGAACCTGGGAGGCGGAGCTTGCAGTGAGCCAAGACCGCACCACTGCACTCCAGCCTGGGCGACAGAGCCAGACTGCGTCTCAAAAAAACAAACAACAACAACAAAAAATTAGCCAGGTGTGGTGGCGGGTGCCTGTAATCCTAGCTACTCGGGAGGCCGAGGTAGGAGAATTGCTTGAACCCAGGGGGTGGAGGTTGCAGTGAGCTGAGATCATGCCACTGCACTCCAGCCTGGGCAACAAAAGCAAAACTCTGTCTCAAAAAATAATAATAAAAACAAAAAATAAAAATAAACTGTTGGATATCATTGGAATAATGTAACTCGTAAGGCTAGAAAATACTGAAATACAGTTCAGATTCAAAACATAAGTTCACTTTTTAAAAAGTCTGCTAGAGAAATAAATGCTAGATAGGAAAGTAGGACTTGTAGCAGAATGGCCTTTTATATCAATTTGAAAAACACAAACATACCATACCCTACCCCCATCTCACCAGAAATTCTAGTTGAAATAAAAAGGAAGGAACAAATGCTAAAGTAAAAAGCTTCGGTCGGGCATGGTGGCTCACACCTGTAATCCCAACACTTTGGGAGGCCATGGCGGGTGGATCACTTGAAGTCAGCAGTTCATGATTAGCCTGGCCAACATGGTAAAAGCCCATCTCTATTAAAAATACAAAAATTAGCTGGGCGTGGTGGCTGTGCCTGTAGTCTCAGCTACTCGGGAGAATCACTTGAACCTGGGAGGCCGAGGTTGCAGTGAGCAGAGATCACACCACTGCACTCCAGCCTGGGTGACAAAGCAAGACTCTGTCTCAAAAAAAAAAAAAAAAAAAAAAGGGAAAAAAACTTCCAAAATCTCATATCCCACTGAATTTAGTGGGGAAAAGTTCCAGACACTGAACTTTGTCAGCTTGATACCTCTCCCTTTAGCAATATCACCTCCATTTCTGTTATGACTTTTGTTCCAACTGAATCTAGTTGTAGCAAATTCAATCTCCTGGAATCAGCTTGATAAGCATAGGAGATTATACTAGAGTCAACTGAAGGATGTACATTAACCAAAAGCTCTAAATTAACAACCAGGAGTGTAGATCTCAAATTCTGATCCTCAATTCAGCATCTGATCAATACTTGGCACTAGCTGGATAAAGGTCTAATCAGAATTTGTGAGCAGAGGCAGACGTAGTTAAATCATAACCCAATATTTGCAGTCTATGATTTGGTTCCAAACTTAAAAGACAGGTATAGATAGATACATCTAAAAATATTTCAGAATTGGAGGTAAAACATTAATAACAAGATATAAACAAAACCAGGCAAATTAGCTTGACAAACAAAAATTCTGGTTAAAAAAAGAAACTAAACTGATCATACCACTGATAATTTAAGAGTCGAAAAATGGGCATTTTTCCACCCTTAAACTAGTTTAATTACAGGCAGATGTATTTCTATTATATTAAGATTTTTCTGTATCCATTTTTCCTAATCCTTAAAGTTTAATGATAAATCATTTATTCTATAAAGAAATACAGCATAAATGTCCACAGTCTAAATATGCTTAAAACTAGAAAGTTACGTCAGTTAAAAAAAACAAAAATCTTACACTGTTCCATCATTACTCTATGGTAATTCAACTGATGCTGCGATCTGCCCTCACCCAAAAGCATGGCACTCACTGCTCAGAGGTTGAATACTAACATTGCCCAAAGTGAAGCAGTAACAGCAAAGACTCCACAAAACTCTATTTAATTGTGTACGAGCATTTAATTACTACTCTAAATTAAAAACGGTACAGTGGGAGCAACTTGTAATATACAAACAGACAAGAAGCTGTGATGCTAGTGTCCATGTAGCACTGTAAATAGCGAAAATAAAGTGGTCTGCATGAGTGAAGTATGGATTGGGGAGAGGAAAAAAGGGAGGCCCAGGAGGCAGATTTCAGACAGTGACACAAAACTGTTGTACTACTAGATGTTTCGTTTGAGGAGGTCTGAGCATGAGCCAAGAGCACATTCAAATCTAGGCTGGTCCAGCTTAATGTACTTCAAGGGGCCATGTACAACCACTGTGGCAGCAGGAGGATGATTCACTAGTAATGCAAGTTCACCAAAATAATCAGAAGGCTCCAATCTTCCCACTTCAACAAACTCTTCATTTTCTGACCAACGTTGCAGCATAGCAGCTGGCCCCTCTAGAATAATAAGGAACTCATCTCTCATCCCCTGGTTCTCCCTGCACCACAATCTTCTGCCAGTCTTCAAACTTCACTGGTTCCCATGTATCGGCTACCATAAGATGCTCCCTCTTATCCAGAGACTCTAAAATAGACACTTTACTAAGGAATTCCTCATACATCTTCCACTTTCTCAGTGTGCTTCCCATACAGATTCTTCCATAGCTGTCTCGGTTGATACACTACCATTTCACATTTGCCTTTGCTTTGACAGTTGCTACTCTAGGTGTTCCATAAATCAAAACAAATTCTCCAAAGCTCCCTCCTTCCTCAATACTGGTTGCTCATTCATCATTGACACAGACATCCCTCTCTCCTTGATCAATCACACAGAAGTTATCCCCTTCATCACCTTGCAGAATCACTGTCTCTCCAGTGATAAAGGAGACTGGAAACATGGCATCAAAAATATCACTTCTCTCATTATCATCAAGATGTGAAATCAGCACATTCCTTTCAATGGCTTTGGCTAAAGACATTGCCTTATAATGGCTTTTGGTATAATCTTATAATCTTTCGGTATAATCTTTCTAACATATAATATGGCATCTTCCTCCATGAAGAATTCAGTGCTGACGGTACCTTGTCACCTCTGATCTTTAACCACTGGGTTGGATAAAGGAGGAGAGATTTCATTCTCCTTAATTCTGTACAAGTGCCTGCTTCCTGCATATTGTGAATTTGTTTTGTCTCCTCCTTCTCCAACCTCTCAAAGTGTTCCCTGAGGAATGCCACTGGTCCCCGGGGTTGAGCAGTGCACAACTGCATAATAGAATCTTTGAGCAGTGCCTGAATGTTGTGCTTCTGGAGGCAGAGCTCACATTCTCAAAGGCTATGTTTCTCCTCTCTGGCAGCAGTGTCACCAGACGCCATGGTTCTCTGTCCCTCTCTGGGTGTCTCAGGTCCCCTCTATTCTTTCTTCTGCTCTTCACTCCCTCTCCACATGGCTTTTAATGAGCTTCCCTCTTCTCTCCTCTGCTCCTCTGTCCACCCTACTCTCCCTCCAACCTCCCTCAATGCCTCTCAAAGTTTCTTTAACAACAATGGAAACTATGTCCATGACTAAGAGGAATAAATCATTTACAAATGGAGAAACAAAGACCAAAGATGTTACTTTAAATTTTAAGGAAATATCAATAAGAGATTATAATTACTGTTTGTCAATTAAACATTTTTAAAATAAAAAATAGATTCTACAATATCTTAGGCAAGAAAGAAAATTAAAAATAAAAAATAGGGACAACTCTAAATTTAAAATATTTTTAAATTATAAAAAAAAGAGCTTACAATCCTAAAGGTCCTGAGTTCTAGTTCAAAACTCACCATAATTATGTTCAAGAAAGGATATATCTTAGTTTTGAAAAAATGACAAGAAAGATATTTTTTTTTGAATTACCATTCTATCTTCTCAAATAAAATGCTAATGAATTTGTTCTTTAAAAA